TCTTCTCGTCCCACGTGCCAGACATGACGTAGTGGGCTTTACCGTCGGCGTCGCTCACCACCCCTGTCACCTGGCAGAAGGAGATGGTTCTGGTGGTGTCTGGAAGCTCTCAGAGGACACCAGGGAGAGGCACAGGGTGGGCAGAACAGCCTCCAGGTGCCCTGACCAGAGAGGTGGGACCATGTGCTCAGACATCGCGGGGAGGATGGGCCAAACCCGACCAGGCAGGTGGGTCTCCAACCCTTCAAACCCTTTCCAGGTCTCCGTGCTGGAGCTGTGGTGAGCCAAAACATTGGCTGCCCTTGCAGGTGCCCAAAAACCGGGGACCCATGTCAGAGGGTCCAGTGCGGCTCCTTGGCCCCGAGCTGGGGCTCATCCCAGTTGTGGTTACTGGGACCCCGTGAGCCCAACTGAGAGGGAAGAGCCCAGTACCACCCCGCGCGAGGCTGCGAGAAGGAGCGGGCAGCTTGCCGGACACGTACCTTTCGGGGGACATCTCTGGAGAAGTAGCTGTAGGGGGTAAATTTCAGCTGGCATTTATCTTTTGACTTATGGTTAACAATCTCTATTTCACCAGACTAGATAAAAGACACAGAACCACAGCGAGTGAGAGACTTCGCAAGGAGACAAATCAGCCGTTAGTCGTAGCGCAGGCACAGATCGACACCCGCCCCCGCCAGCCCCAGCGGAGGGGTAAAACCCACCCCACGCGTGACCACCCTGCCCCACGGAGCCGCTGGCCTTGGGAAGAACCATCAGGAGCTCCCAGAAGCCTCCCCACACCTCTGTCACCTCCCTACCCCAGGCAGCGCTGGTACATACCACCCCCCTCCGTCCCCCCCTCCCCGGAGCCCGGCGGGACCCATCACCTCGGACCCGTCGTCACCGACCTGGTCGATCCAGAGCTTGCCCACGATGATGTTGTGAACGGTGGAGGTGACTTTCCTCCAGACATAGTGATTCCCGCTGGAGTGAAACTCGAGGTGGATGGCGCCTGCCGAGAGAGGGGCGCCCCGAGCTGAGCGTGGGGAGCTGCGGGCACCGTGCTCGTCCCCAGAGATCCCTCTACCTGCACGTCCCACCAGCGGCCCCCAACCTCCCCTGGCCGCACGCTCTGGGGCGTGCTGCACTAACGGAGCTGCAACGCCTGCAAGGTCCTCTGCTCTCTTCCCATCCCCTAAAAAAGCTGTGATTTTAAAAGCAGGTCAGAAACGTGCTGCCTGGTTGACTCTCGGTGTCAGAGAGCACCCAGGGATGGGCAGAAGATAAATAGAATGTCAGAAGGAGGCAGCTTATCGCATCTGGTTGCCAGGGAGAGGGGTAAAACAGGCAGCAAACTAACCTTTACGTAACATTTAAGGGGAAATCAATTCACGGGCAAGCAGGGTATTTCCAAAGCGCACCCGCTATGGTGCGAGCAGTGAGCAAAGGAGTTGGTGTAATTTCCATTTCCAGGGCAGACGAGTTATCTGTGATCAGGAGCACAAACCTGTGCTCCCCACGTTGGAATTCACTGAGCCACGGGACCAGCGCATTGCTTTAACCTCTTGGGTGATGCCAGAGCGGGAAAAAATTATCAAGCAAGCCCCGACCCTCTCGGCACAAGTCACCTACCCAGAGGCATGATGGAGAGGTATTTGCCCCTGAACTTGCTGGCGATGGCGATTTCCTGCCACCAAGTCTGTGTTTTCCCTGCCACAACGTCCACCCTCGTTTGGAGTAGACGTGATGGGCGGCTGCTGGGGGGTGGTGGCTCACCTGGGGGAGAGAAGAAAAAGCCTGTAAGGTCACAACCACCGGCACTGGGGAGCCCTGGCAAGCACGACTCCTAGGAGAGGTGACAGCTCCGTGCCAGCTCGGGCCCCGGGGATGCTCTTCTAACCAAGTGTCACCCACCAAACCTTCATCTGAGCACCTATCACAGTGAGGTGACGCTGTACCATGACGCCGGGACATGCCCCTGCTCTCCAGGGTCGAGAAACAGGGACTTGCCGAGATCCCCAGTAATCCCAGTGTATCAGCAGCGCCTCCCGTTGCTCTGCCTGGGAATCCCCAGAGGACACAGGTCCCTGTCCGAGACACACAGACCTGCCTGGCCAAGACTTTGTCCTTGCCCCATCCTCCATCCCGGAGATGACTTGTACGAGGAGGGTGCCGTCTGGAAGAGCTGCCCTGTCCTGCTCCCACCTTGGGTTTGGGCAGCCACCGCGTCCAGAGATAATTTGCAACGATGAAATCACAGGCCAAGCGCCCTGAGCTACTTGAAAACAAACGTGAGCAGGGCAACGACCTCGCCATTAAATCCCACTGTCACCAGCGGGGGAAAATCCTATTTGGGTAACTGGATTGCAGGCACAAGATTATCACTGCTTTGCCGGGCGCACCGGCGAGCTGAGCGGCACACGCGGGAAGCTTGGAGCAGCGGGAAATACCAAATCTGGGTACAAAAGCCCAAAGACTGGGACCAACAGGCAAAAGTAATTCAGGGCGGGTTATTTATTTGGGAGGGGAAACGGATGGAGGGAGGATGATGGTGAAAAGGAGGGCAAAAGAATGAGAAGAGGGATGGCAGCAAGATCTTCCTGGATCTTGGGAAGGAATTCTTCATCCCGAGGGTGGCCAGACTGTGGAACAGATTGCCCAGAGAGGCTGTGGCTGCCACCTCCCTGGAGATGTTCAAGGCCAGGTTGGATGAAGCCGGGAGCAACCTGGGCTGGGTACGGGCGTCCCTGCCCATGGCAGGGGTTGGACTGGATGATCTCTGAGGTCCCTTCCCACCTAAGACATTCCACGATTCTGTGAACATGTGGGAGCAGTCAGGGATGCCCGGCAGTAGCCGAGGAGCAGCGCTGGGCTTCATCACCGCAGCCGGGATGAGGGTAATAATCCCTCCCTGTTGTTCTGACTGCACCCCGGGAGGATGAGGGGTGTTGCTGGGTAAGGGATGGACAGAACATCCTGGTAAGGAATCCCCCACTTCTTATCCCTCTGGGCTGAGCAGGGTGACAGCCCAGGGAGATGAGACATCAGGGAGAACAGAGAAGATGATGCCGAAGGGCAGAGAGAAGCTAAACCATATCGAGGGGGACAGGGGGATGCCGGTGGAAGCCTGAGCCTCCTCGCTGCTTATTCCCTGTGCACATGTGCTGTGAGCATCGTGCAGCACAGCACAGAGCATCCAGACTAGCAGCAAGACCCTTCCCCCACGTAACACTCCCCCCAGAAATCCCACCGGTCTCAGGGCACAGCGTGCCACCCCTGGTGAACAGAGAAAAAAAGACGTCCTGCCCGAAAGGGGTAATAAATGCCCTTATCCCTCCCCAGGAATCCAGGACAGAGCAGCTAAGTGTGCTAAATAGTAAACGGTCGATCTTCTTCACAGGCACAACTCACTGAGCGCTGCGGGTTTTTAATTAAGCCCCGCTGTCTGAGCGGCGCGTGCCAGATGAGCTCTGTGGTTAGAGCACGGGGCTGCCAGCCCTTCCGAAAATTTTCAGCCAGACAAGAAAACAACAAGACCCTGAAGTGTCCCCCAACCCAAAGACACCCTGAAACAGTTTGGAGACCTCATCGTGTAGCTATAAGGGAGCTCGGGTGAGGAGAGCTTCTCTCTTTCTGCTCAAGGGTGGAGATGTGACAGCAACCCCAGGTCCAGGCAGGCTGCCAGGAGAGCCAGCCAGGTGATGGACACCTTCCTCCTCCCCTTCTTCTTCCCCACCTGCTCTGCAAGCCTGGGATGGGCACGCTGTGCTTCTGAAAAAGGGCTTGGGCCGTGCCTGCTGCTGCTTCCGTCGACAGCAACCCGCTGGGTGTCTCAGCCAGGAGGAAGGCTCGGGGTGAGGAGACGCTGGGAAGGGGAAGGGGTTGACACGCAGAGCCCGGCTCACCTGCTCGCACAGGGAACGGAACCCGAACTCCCCCAGCCGGTCGAGCTCGTAGGTCTCCCCCAGCAGCGGGTTGAACGGCTTGGCGGTGCGGTGGACCGTCGTCGAGTAGGAAGACACGGAGAACGCCGCCACGAAGCACATCTGCTCCGTGGAGCTCTCGCACTTGACCGCTTTGTCCAGCAGCTCGTGGTACTCCAGGTCCTCTGTGAGCCTCTGCAGCATGGAGAGCGGCTCGTTGAAGTTGACCTGGAGGGGAGCGAGTAAGGATGAGCCAAGCGGGAGAGATGCCAACGCTGGGCAAGTCACCCTTTGCCTTTGTCCCCTCCTGGCAAAGCCTGCCTGCTCAGAAAACCTTAAAAAGCCCCATTTTGGGATCTCCCTGCTCCTGCAAGAGCCTGAATACATCGTGTTACCACCCTCGAGTCATTGCTTTGTCACTTAGAAAACTTGCCAGGTTGGACAGGCTGCAAACAACTCTGGGGAAAGAAAAAGAAACGTTTGATTTTAGCGATATTCTTTGTTCTGACAAGAACTGAACAAGCAGTCGAAAGGAAGATGGAGACACTTTGTCTCAAAGGGTCTTGTGCCTTGAAAGCATGGAAAATTCGCTTTATTATTCACTTTATATTTTAGCAGGAGCAGATGGTTGAAGTTCTATAAGCCAAGTTGTGCATTTCCTACTGAAGAAAACAAACTTCAGACTGTTCCACTCGGCGATTTAGCCTGGGATCCCGCAGCACCCGAGAAAGCGCGAGCTGCACAGAAAGGGCAGCATCGCATGCACACGAAAAACCAAATCGCTGCCTGCTTGAGGGAACTCTCAGGAGAGAAGCAGGTGGCACGAGAACAAAGTTGGCCGCTGCATCCTCCGCTGGCACCGCTTGGGCCACGGCAAAGCAAAACCCTTCCACGGAGGAAGGAAAATGAACCCACCTGAAAAGCAAAATCCCTAAAGCTGTCTTCTTCCTTTCCAACGCCGCCGGTTTGTTCGTTCAGAAGACAAATTAAGGAGCGTGGCGTTTGCATTGAGGGATTTTTCAGTCCATCGCGTCTCCCAGGGACAGGGTCTCAGAAATTCTCTGAACTGTCCAAGTTGGGCGAAGCCCACGGAAGGGGAAACTCCCAACACTTGGTGCACACCACGGACTCAGAGACGGTTTGCAATATAATTACCCACATCTCCAGAGCCCTCCTCCTCCTCCTCTGCTCCACTTACCGCAGGGTTCAGCTCTGAGAGCCCTTGCTCGGCAGCTCCATCTCGATTCACAGAGCCGCCGGCTTCTCCCGCGCTCTGAGCGCACGTACGAGGGAGAAAGGATTTAAACAGCTCTTGAAAGGAGATCAAACCCTGTCCCGTCGCCTTACCACGGGCTGCTTGCTCTCAGGGCGAATCTCCGCATGCGGCGGAGCTCGCGGGGTGCAATACATCTCCCTGCCTGCGCATCTGTACCGACACCCAGAGAGAGGAGCGGCTGAGCCCCATCCATACAGCCCGTGGCTCTGCTGAGCAGTTCACAGAGACGGTGGGCGCTGGGGAACCAGCCCCAGGGAGGGATGGAGTGATTACATCCCCTGAGTCGGCACTGGGAGCTGCTGTGCAAGCAGAACACACTGCTCTCAGGTTTGGACTCGGCTTTAGCAGCTCCCAGAATGATTTGATTGATAGGGAAGGTATAAATTTCCGCTCTCCAGCTGCTGGTATTTCGCGTCCTGAGCTTATTTCTGTACCCATCGTGCCTTTATCTGATACTGATGTTGCAGCAGAAATGCTAAGGGACGGCGCTGAGCTGCATCTCTCGGTGGGAAATAGCACAAAGAAGAGACAAACTCATCTCTCTTACTCAGGGAGTGTCAGGAGCTGTTTTAAGAAGCAATGAAATACACTCAATTTGGCATCTGAATCCCTGTGACACGCTCTGTCCCCCTTACCCAGCACAGGAAGGACTCGAAATGCAGGTCCAGGGCTACAGATCGCCCTTTGCTGAGCTGCTTCCACACCAGCCAGCGTCACAATAACCCCCCGTCCCCCCTCAGATGTTTTACAGCTCTCCCCAGCTTGCCAGGAATTGATGGTTTTCTGAGAAACAGATTAATTAGGATGGCACCCAGTCCCATTCCCAGTGCTCACTGGGCTGGTCCAGACCTGCTCGAGAACCGGCAGCCTGGGAGGGGCTGGATTGCTCCGGAAAGAAGGGCTGTGGTTTTGGCGTGGGTAAACGAGGCGCCGGGTTATTTATCAGCAAGAATTAAATGCACGATCGTCTTACCCCCTGCAAGCCCGCGCGAGGGGAGATTCCTCCGCCAGCAACCCCTCTCCGGAGCACCCGCGGGAAGCCTCGCCCCAAGGAGCCAGCCCAGCAGCACCCAGTCGTGCCGTAAATCGCCCCCACGGCATCTCCTTCACTAAGAGGCTGCTCTTTGCAAGAAAAACAAAGGTACTTTGAGCCCCTGGGGTAAAACACGGCTGTCGTGCTGTCGGTGCAGGCAGAGCCACTCCCTGAGCCCCGTGTCTCTGAGACAGCGAGCAGCAACTTCTTTGAGCCCCCAGGCGAAACGCCTGGATCCTCAGGGATTTGAGGTGTCCTTGTTTCCTCCTCGCACCAGTGGGACCTGCAGAGGACACCTGGGCAACGTCCCTTCTGCTCCAGCTCACCGTGGGACTCGTGTGAGCCAACTGCCTGGTGCAGGAGAGCGTCTCAGTCCCAAAGGAAGAGCAGAGCCTATTCAAACAGGCTCTAAATGCAAGAACTGTGATATCAGAGCCATTTACCACAAAGCAATTAGCGCTCCAGCTCCGGGCTGCTCAGGACAGCCTCCTCCCGCCTGGCTGGTTCACCTTGCTGCCTGGGCTGGCTCTCTGGCGGCAGACGGACGCTCTCAAGGGGTAAATAAATAAATTGTAGGGCTTGTAGTCAGCAGAGCAGGGCTGGGGAGAAGTGTGAGATGGTTTCAGAGGGCTCTGCCTCTGCAAAAGGCAGGATGGGGTTGGCAGGAGGTGACCTGCTCCTGCCCGGCTGCTGTCCTCCCCCCCTCGGAGCCGTAACCCAAATCCTCCACCAAGAGCTCTGGCCAAACCGAACCCTCTCCAGCAGCCCTCGGTGCCTGGGCTACGCTCACTTACGGGCATGGGGATCTTGGAGAGCTCTTTGCCGATGCAATTCTTCATGATGCTCCAGAGGTTAAGGCTGTAGTTGGGTTTGTCGGGGATGCGAGTCCGTCTCCTTTTCTTCGGCAGGAGATCTTTGCAAGTGGACTCATGGTAGCTGCTTTGATTTGAGCTTTCAAAGACCTGCAGCAGGAACAGAAGGAACATGGGTCTAAGTTGGGCTTGCCCAGCATGACCCAAGCAGACCCAGCAGCTCCCGGAGCAGCAAACATCTCCCCTCCCACTCCTCTGCCCTGGTTTCATGACGATGGGACCGTCCCTCCCGCTCTGCCCGGCCAACTCACACTGTCCTCCAGGTTCCAGTCCTCGGGGTGGCCCTCGCTGGCCCCACTCAGGTTACTGCCTGAACGCCTGTGAGGAAGAAAGCACCGGCTGATCACCACGAGGAAGGGCAGAGAAGGGGAGAGAGGAGCCAGGGCTGGCGCAGCATGGCCACTATCACCCAGAGCTTCTCCCTGCACTGCCCCAGGGTGCTGTCGTGA